GTTACTTGAGGTTTGCGAAGCCAATTCAGCTGCAATGTAAATGTTCTTTTCAAGGATAGCAACTGCATCATCTATGTCGTCGCCGTTGTGAAGTTCAGTCTCCAGATGGATTCGCTGTTCTAGGTGAGCTTGAAATCTTCTGATATTTGCATTTTTTGGTAATAGTATCTTCTTTTTCCCATATTCAGGTCTCAGGAGGAGTTTAATGATTTGCATGTTGTGATCTGAACCTAAGTCATATGATGTTTCAATGTGAATTAAATTGTGTCTAATACCCTTATAAACCGCAAAGTCTATAGCAGACGGCATGGGTGGGGGATCCAGTGGTCAGTATGCTTTGGTCGTTTTCCTGGATGCATTTCAGAAGTGCATCCCCTCTTCTACACGATCTTGGAATGCCCCACCACTGGCTTTTGGCGTTCCAATCCCCAGCTACGACAAATCTGCTACCCAGAGAGTCAAATACCTGTTTAAATTGTGTATCAATCCATTCGTGTGCAGGTGAACAATAGATCGCACCAATGTTTATTGTTTGATGGTTTTTTATTTTTGCAGCTATGGTGCACATCTGGATGGAGTCCTCTCTTGTTGGTGCGAGGGAAATGTGCGGGATGTTGTTTCTGTTGTGTTCGTCTTGCGAACTAAATTGGTAGTCTCTCTTCATGTCGAACCAATTTCCATCGCCACCTGCATTAGCAGGGGGCAGGGAGGCTGACATGAAGAGAGAACCGTTTTATTTGTTTATACTCTTATAATTAGCATATTTTACAAATTGTTTCGCGCCAACTGCTTATCTACATTACATGTAGTTGCAGAAGTGGCTGTAAATTGGCAGGGTAACATTTCTTACGGTATTGGCTTACTTGGTATTTATTTTTTTTTAGTAGCTATCGATAATTTGGCTAAATGCCAGGGTAACACTAAACTTATTGCTACTTTGTTTACATTGTTTTTGTTTTTAATTATTTCAGGTGGAGTATGCAGCCGTGAAGAACATCATTACGCCTATTGGTCTCGTCGTCGGCTGCGAAGTGGAATCCTTGCGAGTGTCGGCGCTAAACTGTGACTGCAGGACAGCATCAACAGTGCTGAAGCTGGCCAAGGTCCAGTGCATCGTCATTCTGGATGTGGATTACCAATTTCTGTGCAGGTGAAGTGGCTTCGTATCTGTGGAAGAATAAAAAGGTTTTTAGTTTCTTTTCAGCCGCCGCCATCATCTGGATTCTGGAGCTGCCGCCGTCCATCATCAGGTTCTCTGCTGGGGCCGTCATTTGCCTGCGTAGCAGCTGCATTAGCGCTACTGCGGCTGATTTCCATATTGTGTGTTGCAAATGGATTGCGCAGCCAGTTCTCGCGTCTGACTTGGAACAGTATTGTTTGGATGGCTGTCAGGCTTCTGTTGCTGTTTGGATTGTGCTCTTCTATCATTGCGGCATACCTTGGCCTGGCCAGCCTTCTTGGAATGTATGGGTGCGTTGCGATCTCACAGGCAAGTAAATTTGTGTGCTGCATTAGCCGAGTGTAGCAGTTCCTGCAGAGTCTGTTATAAACTTCTTCCACAGTTGCTACTTGGAGATCCGCATGCAGTGCGTTGTTGCTCACATACCGGGGAGCATTTGTCATTGCTCTGAGAGCTTTGCTTTGGATCATCTGGAGCTTGGCCATTTGCATGCTTGAAGTCAGTGGCCCCCAGACTGGCAAGGCATACTGCCATATTGGGGCAATCAGCTGCTTATAGAGGAGGACCTTTGGAGTTAGTGGGAGTTTACTGTTTCTGCCGATGATCCAGTCGAGCTTTTTGATCCGGGCCCTTGTTTTAGTGACAATAGCCGCTACATGCTTATTGAAATTGAGTTTCGTATCCATATGTATTCCCAGGTATGGCATGACGGATTTTTTGGCCAGGAGTTGCCCGGCTAACCTTGGAACTGGAGTGTGTTGCTGCACAGGTGAGAGAGTGTGTAGAACATGAGCAGTTTTTGCAAGACTGATGGTTATTCCCCATTTCTTAGACCATGATAATGCATCAGCCAGGAGCCGCTCCACATTTTCGTTGGCTTGTTTTGGACTTAGGGCAGATACGAGGTATACTGCGTCATCAGCGTACGTTGCTATCATTTGGGTTGAGTTTGCGTGTCTTGGTGTCTGCGGCATGTCGGCAGTGTAAAGATTATAGAGCACTGGGCCAAGTACGCTTCCTTGCGGCACTCCAGCGGTTATGTGCTTTAGGCTTGAGGTGATGTTGTTACAGCAGACGACATGGAAGCTTCTGTCTGAGAGATAGCTGGTGAGTAGAATGTATAAATTGTCAGGTATTATCGTTTTAACTTTGCAGAGAAGATGCTGATGCCAGACTCTATCAAAAGCTTCCTGGATATCCATGTACACAGCACTGCAATGCCGCTGCGCTTCGTAGGATCTGAGGATAAATTGCGTGACTCGTCCGATTTGCTGTTCCGCTGAGTGCTAACTTCTGAAGCCAAATTGATGGTTTGGAATAGCCATGGCAAAGCTTTCTTCTTCAAAGAGTCGCTTGAGGATGAGGCGTTCAAGGATTTTGGAGAAGCCTGTAAGCTGGGTGATGGGTCTGTAGGACTCAAGCCTATCACTCGGCTTTCCTGGTTTCCTTAACATAGAGATTTTTGCGCATTTCCAGGACTTTCGGAAGTGGCCGAACTGCAGAGCCGAGTTGCATATCAACAGCAGATACTCGATGGCGGATGTTGGCAGAGATGACGCGATTGTCGATACTGTCGAGACCGGGTGCCTTTTTCGTCTTGAGCTTCTTAATTTCCGATTTGAGTTCCTGGATGGTCACAGGTCTGATTATTTGAGCAGCTTCATCTGGACCGTTTTCTTGTAATACTGCGTTAATTTCTTCTCTGTCTTCTAGGGCTGCCGTGATCTTTGGCGTGAAACGTGCTTCCAGGTGCTGCGCAAAGGCCTCAGCTTTTTCCTCCGTAGTTTTGCACCCAGGATCAGCAGGAGCTTGCTGCCCTTCCGCCACGTGCCTTCTGACTGGCAGATTTGGAATGGGCTGTCTCTTGATTGTGTTGGTGAGCCGCCATAGTTTCTGCATGCTGTACCTATCAGTTTGGTCGTTTGTAGCTTGATCCGTTACTTATTCTGTTAGTCAGCTGATTGATAGTGCGTGCAATGAGGGGGTTGGAGCACCTATCTTTTTGGTTGATTTTGCAGAGAATTCTTTTGATCTTGATCGCTTTCAGCGTTTGCGAGTCAAGATGAAAGTTTTGCGGTCCGTACACTGTGTGCTGGTTACTTGAGGTTTGCGAAGCCAATTCACCTGCAATGTAAATGTTCTTTTCAAGGATAGCCACTGCATCATCTATGTCGTCGCCGTTGTGAAGTTCAGTCTCCAGATGGATTCGCTGTTCTAGGTGAGCTTGAAATCTTCTGATATTTGCATTTTTTGGTAATAGTATCTTCTTTTTTCCATATTCAGGTCTCAGGAGGAGTTTAATGATTTGCATGTTGTGATCTGAACCTAAGTCATATGATGTTTCAATGTGAATTAAATTGTGTCTAATACCCTTATAAACCGCAAAGTCTATAGCAGACGGCATATGTCGTCGATTTGAAGGGAAATGGGTGGGGGATCCAGTGGCCAGTATGCTTTGGTCGTTTTCCTGGATGCATTTCAGAAGTGCAGCCCGTCTTCTACACGATCTTGCATTGCCCCACCACTGGCTTTTGGCGTTCCAATCCCCAGCTACGATAAATCTGCTACCCAGAGAGTCAAATACCTGTTTAAATTGTTTATCAATCCATTCTTGTGCAGGTGGACAATAGATCGCACCAATGTTTATTGTTTGATGGTTTTTTATTTTTGCAGCTATGGTGCACATCTGGATGGAGTTCTCTCTTGTTGGTGCGAGGGAAATGTGCGGGATGTTGTTTCTGTTGTGTTCGTCTTGCGAGCTAAATTGGTAGTCTCTCTTCATGTCGAACCAATTTCCATCGCCACCTGCATTAGCAGGGGACAGGGAGGCTAACATGAAGAGAGAACCGTTTTATTGGTTTATACTCTTATAATTCGCATATTTTACAAATTGTTTCGCGCCAACTGCTTATCTACATTACATGTAGTTGCAGAAGTGGCTGTAAATTGGCAGGGTAACATTTCTTACGGTATTGGCTTATTTGGTATATATTTTTTTTTAGTAGCTATCGATAATTTGTCAAAATGCCAGGGTAACACTAAACTTATTGCTACTTTGTTTACATTGTTTTTGTTTTTAATGATTTCAGGTGGAGTATGCAGCCGTGAAGAACATCATTACGCCTATTGGTCTCGTTGTCGTTTGCGAAGTGGAATCCTTGCGAGTTTTTTTTTTTTTTTTTTTTTTTTTTTTTTGTTGTTGTGTGACTACAGGAAAGCTTCATGCCGACTCAGCCGAAGCCGAAGTGAGGGACTCTAACCGCTCTAAAACCAACCACACCTATCCCGGATCCCGGCGGTACTGTCGCGAGATATTACTTCGCCGGGGGGAGATGCCCGTAGGGCTCTTCTCTTAACAATCTCCTTTATCCTTTATCTCCTAGCATTGCGTGCTCTTTCTTCGCGACGCAGTTTGGTAACCATAGTTACGGCCATGAATCTAATCGCGGCCCAGTTTCCTTCCGACTCCAGCATGCATTCTGCCAGGTTTGTCACCGCTGGCATTCTTCCAAGCTTGTTGCTTAGATCCTCTCGTTCTTGCCGAAATCTTGGACATTCGAAGAAGCAGTGCTCTGCGTCTTCGATGACCCCGGCGCAGACCACGCAGAAGGGGTCGTCCTCGTGCTTAAACCTATGCAGGTAGGCTTTAAAGCAACCGTGTCCTGTCTGCAGTTGTGTCAGGTGATACTCCACTTGTCCATGGCTACGGTTCAGCCAACTCTTCAGGTCTGGGATTAGCCTATGGGTCCATCGCCCTTTGCTGCTGTTATCCCACGAATCTTGCCATTGCAGGATTGTGCGCTGCCTTGGAATCCTTGCGAGTGTCGGCGCTAAACTGTGACTGCAGGACAGCATCAACAGGGCTGAAGCCGGCCGAGGTCCAGTGCATCGTCATTCTGGATGTGGATTACCAATTTCTGTGAAGGTGAAGTGGCTTCGTATCTGTGGAAGAATAAAAAGGTTTTTAGTTTCTTTTCAGCCGCCGCCATCATCTGGATTCTGGAGCTGCCGCCGTCCATCATCAGGTTCTCTGCTGGGGCCGTCATTTGCAGGCTGTCAGGCTTCTGTTGCTGTTTGGATTGTGCTCTTCTATCATTGCGGCATGCCTTGGCCTGGCCAGCCTTCTCGGAATTTGTGTGCTGCATTAGCCGAGTGTAGCAGTTTCTGCAGAGTCTGTTATAAACTTCTTCCACAGTTGCTACTTGGAGATCCGCATGCATTGCGTTGTTGCTCACATACCGGGGAGCATTTGACATTGCTCTGAGAGCTTTGCTTTGGATCGTCTGGAGCTTGGCCATTTGCATGCTTGAAGTCAGTGGCCCCCAGACTGGCAAGGCATACTGCCATATTGGGGCAATCAGCTGCTTATAGAGGAGGACCTTTGGAGGTAGTGGGAGTTTACTGTTTCTGCCGATGATCCAGTCGAGCTTTTTGATCCGGGCCCTTGTTTTAGTGACTATAGCCGCTACATGCTTATTGAAATTGAGCTTCGTATCCATATGTATTCCCAGGTATGGCATGACGGATTTTTTGGCCAGGAGTTGCCCGGCTAACCTTGGAGCTGGAGTGTGTTGCTGCACAGGTGAGAGAGTGTGTAGAACATGAGCAGTTTTTGCAAGACTGATGGTTATTCCCCATTTCTTACACCATGATAATGCATCAGCCAGGAGCCGCTACACATTTTCGTTGGCTTGTTTTGGACTTAGGGCAGATACGAGGTATACTGCGTCATCAGCGTACGTTGCTATCATTTGGGTTGAGTTTGCGTGTCTTGGTGTCTGCGGCATGTCGGCAGTGTAAAGATTATAGAGCACTGGGCCAAGTACGCTTCCTTGCGGCACTCCAGCGGTTATGTGCTTTAGGCTTGAGGTGATGTTGTTACAGCAGACGACTTTGAAGCTTCTGTCTGAGAGATAGCTGGTGAGTAGAATGTATAAATTGTCAGGTACTATCGTTTTAACTTTGCAGAGAAGACCCTGATGCCAGACTCTATCAAAAGCTTCCTGGATATCCATGTACACAGCACTGCAATGCCGCTGCGCTTCGTAGGATCTGAGGATAAATTGCGTGACTCGTCCGATTTGCTGTTCCGCTGAGTGCTGACTTCTAAAGCCAAATTGATGGTTTGGAATAGTCATGGCAAAGCTTTCTTCTTCAAAGAGTCGCTTGAGGATGAGGCGTTCAAAGATTTTGGAGAAGCCTGTAAACTGGCTGATGGGTCTGTAGGACTCAAGCCTATCACTCGGCTTTCCAGGACTTTGGGAAGTGGCCGAACTGCAGAGCCGAGTTGCATATCAACAGCAGATACTCGATGGCGGATGTTGGCAGAGACTTAATGACGCGATCTCACAGGCAAGTAAATTTGTGTGCTGCATTAGCCGAGTGTAGCAGTTCCTGCAGAGTCTGTTATAAACTTCTTCCACAGTTGCTACTTGGAGATCCGCATGCAGTGCGTTGTTGCTCACATACCGGGGAGCATTTGTCATTGCTCTGAGAGCTTTGCTTTGGATCGTCTGGAGCTTGGCCATTTGCATGCTTGAAGTCAGTGGCCCCCAGACTGGCAAGGCATACTGCCATATTGGGGCAATCAGCTGCTTATAGAGGAGGACCTTTGGAGTTAGTGGGAGTTTACTGTTTCTGCCGATGATCCAGTCGAGCTTTTTGATCCGGGCCCTTGTTTTAGTGACAATAGCCGCTACATGCTTATTGAAATTGAGTTTCGTATCCATATGTATTCCCAGGTATGGCATTACGGATTTTTTGGCCAGGAGTTGCCCGGCTAACCTTGGAACTGGAGTGTGTTGCTGCACAGGTGAGAGAGTGTGTAGAACATGAGCAGTTTTTGCAAGACTGATGGTTATTCCCCATTTCTTAGACCATGATAATGCATCAGCCAGGAGCCGCTACACATTTTCGTTGGCTTGTTTTGGACTTAGGGCAGATACGAGGTATACTGCGTCATCAGCGTACGTTGCTATCATTTGGGTTGAGTTTGCGTGTCTTGGTGGCTGCGGCATGTCGGCAGTGTAAAGATTATAGAGCACTGGGCCAAGTACGCTTCCTTGCGGCACTCCAGCGGTTATGTGCTTTAGGCTTGAGGTGATGTTGTTACAGCAGACGACATGGAAGCTTCTGTCTGAGAGATAGCTGGTGAGTAGAATGTATAAATTGTCAGGTATTATCGTTTTAACTTTGCAGAGAAGATCCTGATGCCAGACTCTATCAAAAGCTTCCTGGATATCCATGTACACAGCACTGCAATGCCGCTGCGCTTCGTAGGATCTGAGGATAAATTGCGTGACTCGTCCGATTTGCTGTTCCGCTGAGTGCTAACTTCTGAAGCCAAATTGATGGTTTGGAATAGCCATGGCAAAGCTTTCTTCTTCAAAGAGTCGCTTGAGGATGAGGCGTTCAAGGATTTTGGAGAAGCCTGTAAGCTGGGTGATGGGTCTGTAGGACTCAAGCCTATCACTCGGCTTTCCTGGTTTCCTTAACATAGAGATTTTTGCGCATTTCCAGGACTTTCGGAAGTGGCCGAACTGCAGAGCCGAGTTGCATATCAACAGCAGATACTCGATGGCGGATGTTGGCAGAGATGACGCGATTGTCGATACTGTCGAGACCGGGTGCCTTTTTCGTCTTGAGCTTCTTAATTTCCGATTTGAGTTCCTGGATGGTCACAGGTCTGATTATTTGAGCAGCTTCATCTGGACCGTTTTCTTGTAATACTGCGTTAATTTCTTCTCTGTCTTCTAGGGCTGCCGTGATCTTTGGCGTGAAACGTGCTTCCAGGTGCTGCGCAAAGGCCTCAGCTTTTTCCTCCGTAGTTTTGCACCAGGATCAGCAGGAGCTTGCTGCCCTTCCGCCACGTGCCTTCTGACTGGCAGATTTGGAATGGGCTGTCTCTTGATTGTGTTGGTGAGCCGCCATAGTTTCTGCATGCTGTACCTATCAGTTGGTCGATGTCGTGTAGCAGTCTGTTCATTTGTATTGTCTTTTTGTAGCTTGATCCGTTACTTATTCTGTTAGTCAGCTGATTGATAGTGCGTGCAATGAGGGGGTTGGAGCACCTATCTTTTTGGTTGATTTTGCAGAGAATTCTTTTGATCTTGATCGCTTTCAGCGTTTGCGAGTCAAGATGAAAGTTTTGCGGTCCGTACACTGTGTGCTGGTTACTTGAGGTTTGCGAAGCCAATTCAGCCTGCAATGTAAATGTTCTTTTCAAGGATAGCCACTGCATCATCTATGTCGTCGCCGTTGTGAAGTTCAGTCTCCAGATGGATTCGCTGTTCTAGGTGAGCTTGAAATCTTCTGATATTTGCATTTTTTGGTAATAGTATCTTCTTTTTTCCATATTCAGGTCTCAGGAGGAGTTTAATGATTTGCATGTTGTGATCTGAACCTAAGTCATATGATGTTTCAATGTGAATTAAATTGTGTCTAATACCCTTATAAACCGCAAAGTCTATAGCAGACGGCATATGTCGTCGATTTGAAGGGAAATGGGTGGGGGATCCAGTGGCCAGTATGCTTTGGTCGTTTTCCTGGATTCTTTCAGAAGTGCAGCCCGTCTTCTACACGATCTTGCATTGCCCCACCACTGGCTTTTGGCGTTCCAATCCCCAGCTACGATAAATCTGCTACCCAGAGAGTCAAATACCTGTTTAAATTGTGTATCAATCCATTCGTGTGCAGGTGGACAATAGATCGCACCAATGTTTATTGTTTGATGGTTTTTTATTTTTGCAGCTATGGTGCACATCTGGATGGAGTCCTCTCTTGTTGGTGCGAGGGAAATGTGCGGGATGTTGTTTCTGTTGTGTTCGTCTTGCGAACTAAATTGGTAGTCTCTCTTCATGTCGAACCAATTTCCATCGCCACCTGCATTAGCAGGGGGCAGGGAGGCTGACATGAAGAGAGAACCGTTTTATTTGTTTATACTCTTATAATTAGCATATTTTACAAATTGTTTCGCGCCAACTGCTTATCTACATTACATGTAGTTGCAGAAGTGGCTGTAAATTGGCAGGGTAACATTTCTTACGGTATTGGCTTACTTGGTATTTATTTTTTTTTAGTAGCTATCGATAATTTGGCTAAATGCCAGGGTAACACTAAACTTATTGCTACTTTGTTTACATTGTTTTTGTTTTTAATTATTTCAGGTGGAGTATGCAGCCGTGAAGAACATCATTACGCCTATTGGTCTCGTCGTCGGCTGCGAAGTGGAATCCTTGCGAGTGTCGGCGCTAAACTGTGACTGCAGGACAGCATCAACAGTGCTGAAGCTGGCCGAGGTCCAGTGCATCGTCATTCTGGATGTGGATTACCAATTTCTGTGCAGGTGAAGTGGCTTCGTATCTGTGGAAGAATAAAAAGGTTTTTAGTTTCTTTTCAGCCGCCTGCCATCATCTGGATTCTGGAGCTGCCGCCGTCCATCATCAGGTTCTCTGCTGGGGCCGTCATTTGCCTGCGTAGCAGCTGCATTAGCGCTACTGCGGCTGATTTCCATATTGTGTGTTGCAAATGGATTGCGCAGCCAGTTCTCGCGTCTGACTTGGAACAGTATTGTTTGGATGGCTGTCAGGCTTCTGTTGCTGTTTGGATTGTGCTCTTCTATCATTGCGGCATACCTTGGCCTGGCCAGCCTTCTTGGAATGTATGGGTGCGTTGCGATCTCACAGGCAAGTAAATTTGTGTGCTGCATTAGCCGAGTGTAGCAGTTCCTGCAGAGTCTGTTATAAACTTCTTCCACAGTTGCTACTTGGAGATCCGCATGCAGTGCGTTGTTGCTCACATACCGGGGAGCATTTGTCATTGCTCTGAGAGCTTTGCTTTGGATCATCTGGAGCTTGGCCATTTGCATGCTTGAAGTCAGTGGCCCCCAGACTGGCAAGGCATACTGCCATATTGGGGCAATCAGCTGCTTATAGAGGAGGACCTTTGGAGGTAGTGGGAGTTTACTGTTTCTGCCGATGATCCAGTCGAGCTTTTTGATCCGGGCCCTTGTTTTAGTGACAATAGCCGCTACATGCTTATTGAAATTGAGCTTCGTATCCATATGTATTCCCAGGTATGGCATGACGGATTTTTTGGCCAGGAGTTGCCCGGCTAACCTTGGAGCTGGAGTGTGTTGCTGCACAGGTGAGAGAGTGTGTAGAACATGAGCAGTTTTTGCAAGACTGATGGTTATTCCCCATTTCTTAGACCATGATAATGCATCAGCCAGGAGCCGCTCCACATTTTCGTTGGCTTGTTTTGGACTTAGGGCAGATACGAGGTATACTGCGTCATCAGCGTACGTTGCTATCATTTGGGTTGAGTTTGCGTGTCTTGGTGGCTGCGGCATGTCGGCAGTGTAAAGATTATAGAGCACTGGGCCAAGTACGCTTCCTTGCGGCACTCCAGCGGTTATGTGCTTTAGGCTTGAGGTGATGTTGTTACAGCAGACGACATGGAAGCTTCTGTCTGAGAGAGAGCTGGTGAGTAGAATGTATAAATTGTCAGGTATTATCGTTTTAACTTTGCAGAGAAGATGCTGATGCCAGACTCTATCAAAAGCTTCCTGGATATCCATGTACACAGCACTGCAATGCCGCTGCGCTTCGTAGGATCTGAGGATAAATTGCGTGACTCGTCCGATTTGCTGTTCCGCTGAGTGCTAACTTCTGAAGCCAAATTGATGGTTTGGAATAGCCATGGCAAAGCTTTCTTCTTCAAAGAGTCGCTTGAGGATGAGGCGTTCAAGGATTTTGGAGAAGCCTGTAAGCTGGGTGATGGGTCTGTAGGACTCAAGCCTATCACTCGGCTTTCCTGGTTTCCTTAACATAGAGATTTTTGCGCATTTCCAGGACTTTCGGAAGTGGCCGAACTTCAGAGCCGAGTTGCATATAAACAGCAGATACTCGATGGCGGATGTTGGCAGAGATGACGCGATTGTCGATACTGTCGAGACCGGATGCCTTTTTCGTCTTGAGCTTCTTAATTTCCGATTTGAGTTCCTGGATGGTCACAGGTCTGATTATTTGAGCAGCTTCATCTGGACCGTTTTCTTGTAATACTGCGTTAATTTCTTCTCTGTCTTCTAGGGCTGCCGTGATCTTTGGCGTGAAACGTGCTTCCAGGTGCTGCGCAAAGGCCTCAGCTTTTTCCTCCGTAGTTTTGCACCCAGGATCAGCAGGAGCTTGCTGCCCTTCCGCCACGTGCCTTCTGACTGGCAGATTTGGAATGGGCTGTCTCTTGATTGTGTTGGTGAGCCGCCATAGTTTCTACATGCTGTACCTATCAGTTTGGTCGATGTCGTGTAGCAGTCTGTTCATTTGTTTGTCTTTTTGTAGCTTGATCCGTTACTTATTCTGTTAGTCAGCTGATTGATAGTGCGTGCAATGAGGGGGTTGGAGCACCTATCTTTTTGGTTGATTTTGCAGAGAATTCTTTTGATCTTGATCGCTTTCAGCGTTTGCGAGTCAAGATGAAAGTTTTGCGATCCGTACACTGTGTGCTGGTTACTTGAGGTTTGCGAAGCCAATTCAGCTGCAATGTAAATGTTCTTTTCAAGGAAAGCCACTGCATCATCTATGTCGTCGCCGTTGTGAAGTTCAGTCTCCAGATGGATTCGCTGTTCTAGGTGAGCTTGAAATCTTCTGATATTTGCATTTTTTGGTAATAGTATCTTCTTTTTTCCATATTCAGGTCTCAGGAGGAGTTTAATGATTTGCATG